GAGTGTAAGTTAAGTTGTAGTCCCTAATGTTGCTTAAACTCTCAAGATTACTTTAGGTTCGACCTGACGACCTTTCGCGTTACTTGGAGGACATGCGTAAGAAGGGTTACACAGTAGTTGCTGCGGAACAGACTACAGACAGTGTACCGTTACATAAGTACAAATTCCCACTGAAGGTTAGATTTTTTTGTCTCTCTTCACTAGTAAGATACTCTTTTTATAGACAGTATTGTTGCTTGGCGATGAGAAGGAAGGAGTACCAGTGCAACTTCTGCGAAATGTTGATCAAACTGTTGAGATAGAACAGCTTGGACAAACACGCAGTCTGAATGTCCATGTTTCCGCTGCACTTTTCATTGCAAAATATGCTGAGCAAATACTGTTTTCTGATTAGGTCCTCATGCGAAGTTCTTCGCCACCTTCTTCTTTACGTTTGTTGCCATTGTTATTGTTGTTGTTGATAATTGCCTTCTCAGAAGTAAAGCCCTTCTGTGCGTCTTTGCGCTCGTCACAGCAAACATAATCATGTGTGTATATGAAAAGAGCTGCTAGTTTATACCAACTTTTATCAATTTTTTGGCATAAAGACGTAGAGTCTTAGCAAGATTTATAATGCCAATGAAAGGATTAATTGAGGTCTTTTGTGAAAATTAGTTGTTAATGACTGCCTTTCAATAACACAGGTAAGGTACCCAAGAAGAAGATACGTTTGTTGGTGACACTTTACGAATATCTGGAAGCATGGAGAGTGTTATGCATTATTGTAAGCAATCCTATTAAAAGATAAGCGAGTGACTGATACTGTGCTAATGTATCAGATTTTGAGGAAATTACAGAATTTTGCGGTGTTATACTTTTCTAGTTAGTTTTCTCACAAATTCTATAGTAGTTGTTTTAGTGTCATACTTTTAAAGACGGGTACGCCTATGGTAAAAGAGAACTTGTTTCTTTTTCTTTTTTTGTAATCTGATTGATCACAAAATTTTATGAAATGAAAACCACGCAATAATGTAAGCAGAATTGATACTATAGCTTTTCCGCTAATTGCAGGCTCCACTAGGGGCTTCGATAATCCTTGAGCTAGTTGCAACATTGAAATGTGCTTTATACTCAATATTCAACTCTGAAGTTTTAATACGATAAAGGATATTGAACAAAGCCAGTGGCGATTAGAAAGAGCAGTATTAGGCTATGTCGACCCGACAAAGTTTTATTCAACTTATGCTTCACGGGAAACTTCAACTCCATTGGTCGTCGTTAGGACGCGGATGATGCCGAAAACAAAAAGTTGTTTTCATTTTGATCTAGAAATCTACTCCTTCAAAAGTCAAGGTCAGTCTTTTCCTAGGATTTTGCTAGCTCAGAAAAGCTGAAAAGAGCTTGTCACTGTGGTGTTACTATTGACACCTATGTACCACTCCTTTTCAGCCTATTCTGTGGCCTTTCCTATTAACAGAAAACAATTCAAAAATGTGAAGTACGAGTGGTCGTATTTGACCAACTTGCTCACTGGGATCTTCTTGCTGTTCTTTATCCGTTCAGATATGAGATATAAATGAGATAAAAGGCTCATGATTCGCTCACCTAGATCGAGATAAGATGATGGAAATCTGTTGAGATTTAATAAAATCAAGCCGCAAAAAACTTCCAGAAAAAAACTGATATCTTCTCTTAGTTGAGATATGGATGTCTAGGTCATTGTGGAATAACACTATAATGTTTGCTTACGTTATTTACCTTCGCCCGAGTTCGTCTATCTTGCTACGGAGCTGCCGCTTCCATGATAAGGGTTCGATTAGTCATTGAGCAAAGTTGGCCAGCTCGCAACTTCATCAAACTCTGCTACATCCATGAAGGCTTGCGGAATTCCCATAAAAGTAAATTTCACCATATGGTAGGTTTGCTTTAATAGGTGTTAAAGGATGAGGTTGCAGATAGCTTCGCGATGCATGGTCGTCTTCGAGTCTGCTATTACAAAGCTGCAGCTGATCATCTCCATCTGTTCCATAGTGTACTCTCCGACTTGGCGTTAGTTGTAGTAGCCGTGAAATCACGTCATATAATTTAAGATGCATGAGCATTCAAACAAACGTTAATACTTCAGTGCCGGTGTTTATCAACTTCACCTTCTTGACATTTGCTCTTTTTTCAATCGCCATGTATTCGTTCTGCTGGAGGAGGCGCAACAATTTATTTGTTCTCCCTATTCTTGTTTATGAGGTAAGTATGAATGTCTTCAATATATACTATTTCTGATCTGCTCCAAACTTACATCCGTCTCAGCGGAATTGAAAAGGGATACTGAGATAGGCACATTGGGCCTAGCGATTTCACTGATTTTGGACCCCCAAAAATCGATATTATTGATTATTTTCAAGCAGTGTACTCCTATTTATATATGACAAATATGTTTGAATAACGCATGCTAAGTGTTAAATCTCACTCAGAGCCGGCACTATGTGGTCTTCATTTATCTGAAAGTTATGGGACGTCACTCCGTACATAAAATTCTTGGACTCTTTGACTTTCTAAGTTTCCAAATTAACAGTATTTCCACACTAACAAAAACTAAATCCTATATTTCACGTTATATATTGGGAAATAATTAGCGAGAAAGAGTCATTGTTGAAGAAAACTTTTAAGCTTTTTCCTCCTCTGACTTATATCCAAGTAACTGCACATGTTCCTCATTAAGTTAACAAACAAACAAATTTCATGTGATACTTGCATTGTCGCATGCCCACCGAAGTGTAAACGCTTTCGATACGAAAAATTGATCAATGGAGTTTTTGATGGCGTGTTTAGCCCATTTGAGTGAGCTCTTTCGATAGCTTTCCAGATTCTCCATGTTCGACTTTCGATGAATCTTGGCATCGTAATATTCTTCTTTTAGCGTTGAGCCGTAAGCCAAG